CTCTACCACTTGAGCCACAGCGCCACTTCTGGCTTTTTACTTATGTGGTGCTGAGGAATCGAACCCAGGGCAAGCACTCTACCACTGAGTCACCTTCCCAGCCCCCTAGTTGTTCTTTTCATATTCTGGGTACTAGTCCCTTACCAGATACATGATTTCCAATTTCTTTCTTCCATTCTGTGAGTTGCCTTTTCATTTTCTTAGAAGTATGCTTTGACACAGGCAAGATTTTCTTGGTAGTATCTATCTTTTGACACACAAGAGATTTTAATGATGGAATTCCATTTATTTTCTTTTTGTTGCTAAATCCAAAATGATAGACTCATGTTTTATGTTTTCTTCTCAATTTTATGGCTTTAGCACTTATATTTAGGTCTTATTTTGGATTAATTTTTGTACTTGGTGCAGTGTAATGGTCCAACTCCATTCTTTTGCATATGAGTATCTAGTGATTTGAGCACTACTTTTTTTTTTTTTTTTGGGTCTGGTCGTGGGGCCTGAACTCTGGGCCTGGGCGCTGTCCCTCAGCTCTTCAGCTCAAGGCTAGCGCTCTATCACTTGAGCCACAGCACCACTTCCGGCTTTTTTCTTTTTTCTTATGTGGTGCTGAGGAATCGAACCCAGGGCCTCGAGCATGCAAGGCAAGCACTCTACCACTGAGCCACCCTCCCAGCCCTTGAGCACTACTTATTGAAGAGACTCTTTTTTGGCATGCTTGTTGAAAATTGGTTGACCATAGTATATTGATTTTTGGTTCTTTAGTCTACGCTACTAGCCTTTTTGTTACTTAAAAGAGTTGAATTTAGGGCCTCATGTCAGGCAGGTGCTCTATCACTTCAGCCACACCCCCCAGTTCCTATGCTTTTTTAAAATACCGCTTTCTAAAATAACCATACTCTTTTGATTAATGTAGCTTTATAGAAAAGTTTGAGGCTAGAAAATGTATGTCCCTCAGTATTGTTCCTTTTGTTTTAAGCTATTTTTGTCTTCTTTGGTCCCTTGAGATTTCATGTTTTAGATTTGCTCTACCAATTCTACAGACAGGTCACTGAGATTGATAGGAATTACATTCAATTTATAGAATAATTCTGGGAGTAGTAACATCAGAATAGTGCTAAGTCTTCTAACATATGAATACCGATATCTTCCATTTATTTGAGTCTTTAATTTCTTTCAGCAATACTCTATATTTTTCAGTGTGCAACTCTTATACCTTCTTGATTAAATTTGCACCCATGTTTTTGTTTCATGTTCTCATGGTACTGCTTAATTTCTTTGTTGGAGTTTTGTTTATACAATTGACTTTTGTGTGCTTTTATCCTCTGACATTGTTGAATTTTTAAGTTAGCTGATTTTTAAAAATTTTTAATATTAGAATATTGTGTACAATATAGTTTTATTTCTTCCTTTCAGTTATTTTCTCTTGCCCTGATTTCTTGGGTTACACCTTTTGATTTCAGTGTTGAATATTACAAAGCAGGCATTGCCTTGATATTAGGGGTCAAACTTTTCTTTTTTCACTATTGCCTATATTGCTGTGGGATTTCATAATTTTTTTTTTGGTTGGCCGTAGGGCTTGTCTGGGCCTGGGCGTGGTCCCTGTGTTCTTCAGCTCAAGGTGAGTGCTCTACCGCTTGAGCCACAGTGCCACTTCCAGTTTTCTAGTGGTTTATTGGAGATGAGAGTCTCATGGAGTTTCCTGCCTGGGCTGGCTTTGAACCATGATCCTTAGATCTCAGCATCCTGAGTAGCTAGGATTATAGGTGTGAGCCACCGGCACCCAGCAGTTTTCATAAATATTTTTTTTTAAAGTTTAGGAAATTTTCTGCTCTCCCTAGTTTGTTGAATGGTTTTACTAAATGTCATGGTATACAATCATAGTATATAATGACTGGTCATTATAATGTATAATCCTTTTATTATGAGTTAGATTGGACCTCTTAGTATTTTGTTGGATGTTTTTACATCTACATTCATAAGGAGAGTTAGTCTATAGTTTTCTTGCGCTGCTTTTGTCTGGCTTCGGTAATGCTGGTCCTATAGAATGAGTTATAAACTCCTATTCCATTATTTTTGTGTGTGTGTCGGGGGGGGATGAGGTTAGAGGATTGGCTCTTATTCTTTTATGTTTAGAAGGGCTGACCAGCATACCCATATATTGCTGGATTTTCTTTGCTAAGAGTTTTTGCCCAGTGACTTGCTCTCTTTGTTATAGGTCTGATTTTTCTTTTTGTCAGATTTTTCTTTTCTTTTTTTTTTTTGTTGGTCATGGTGCTTAAACTTGGGGCCTGGGCACTGTCCCTCAGCTTTTCAGCTCAAGGTTAGCGCTCTACCACTTGAGCCACAGCACCACTTCTGGTTTTCTGGTGGTTTATTGAAGATAAGAGTCTCATCAACTTTCCTGCCTGGGCTGGCTTTGAACCATGGTCCTCAGATCTCAGCCTTAGTAGCTAGGATTACAGGCATGAGCCACTGGTACCTGGCCAGATTTTTAATTTTAATTATTTTTTTGGTGCTGTTCTGGGGCTTGAACTCATGCCTGGGTGTTGTCCTTGAGCTTTTATGCTCAAGGCTAGTGTTCTACTACTTAAGCCACAGCTTCACTTTTGGCTTTTTTGGTAATTAATTGCAGATAACATCTTGTCTCACAGAGTTTTCCCTGCCTGGGCTGGCTCTGAACTGCACCCTTCAGCTCTCAGCCTCTTGAGTAGCTAGGATTACAGGCGTAATCCTACAGGGAGGCAGGAATGGTCTGCTGGACTGTCTGCATTTGACTTCACTTGGACACTAGCTTACTATATATAATCTTAGGGTTAGTTTGTCTGTACCTAGCTTCCTCAGCTGAAATAAAATGATTAACAACAGAATTGTTGTTGTAAAGATTAAGTATATTAATGCATTAAAAACTTTGTTTCTATTCATAGCACCGAATATTCATTAGCAAATATTATCTTTCATTATATGGTTACTAACTGCAGTATAAAATAGCATGTAGGTATCTCAAAGACAGGGTTAATAGTAAAGGCCACATTTTTACCTAGCTTTATAATAACTTAGACTAGGAGATAAGTAAAATCCAGGCAAATGCCTCATCATTTGGAAATAAGGGTTTTTAAAAAACAGTATCCAGGGCTGGGAAGGTAGCTCAGTGGTAGAGCACTTGCCTTGCATGCATGAGGCCCTGGGTTCGATTCCTCAGCACCACATAAGCAGAAAAAAAAAAAGTCGAAAGTGGCGCTGTGGCTCCAGTGGTAGAGTGCTAGCCTTGAGGTGAGGGACAGTGCTCAGGCCCACACCAGACACCCCCCCCCCAAAAAAAAACCAGTATCCAGGAGCATGAATGGCATAGCATACAGCACTATACTAGAAAGGCCTTTTACCACCAGAGTAGAAAGTCCATACAGAAAGGGAGTCTATGAGAGAGAAACCAGGTCCTTTAGTATACTGTGAATCGTCTCTCCACTGAGGGCCATGAACCATGGGCCAATGGCCATAAGCATTCAGTCTCCTCAAGAAGGTGATATATATTGAAGATATTGTTACTGAAATATGTTTCTTAAGCTTCTTCATCTCTTTACCTTGCTTCTCCTGAACACGTATCTCTATAGCCTCATTTATCTTTGTTGAGAAAACATGTGAATTCATATCTGATATAATAAAAATGTATAAAATATTAACACATGACATACTGTTCCCACCACTATTTTCTCAGTACAATGAACAAAGGATAAGCTTGGGAACAGAAGCACTTGCTTTCTTTTCCAAGACAGAAACATTTCATGTACATCTAAAATTAATTGATTAAAAGAGAGGATATTTTGTTTCAATTTTTTTAAAAAAGCAACTAAAATAAAGGTTACATTGATATAATACATTACTATAACAATGTATTTTAAAAGATGGGAATTTAGCTTATACTTAGTTTATATTAAGTTAGTGAATTACAATTAATAGGATATTTCACAAAATTTTACTGCCCAGTGCATTTTTGCAAACAATAACTCACTGAGAGCACTAACATTCACATATGTAATTATAGAGTTTACAAGTGTACAAAACTCTGGGTAACAAATATCTAAAATTCTGGTCTTCAAACATTCAGTTAGCCCATTCTGTTAAACAGTTTGAGTACAGGAAGCACAATAGATTATTAATTATAGTAAACAAAAGCAACAAGGCAGGGAGGAAATGCAAACTTGAGGACATAAGAATTGTGAATATCAAAAGACAAAATCAAATAATCTGTTGTAATCCATATAATTAAATACTAGTTAGGTGAAATAACATTACAGGTATATAATATTTTTCTCTCTACATTAATTTGCATATCTTAAATTTAATGTAAAACATTTTAATTTCAATTGAAGAATATCATACATATAGTTCTTGGTAAATCTGGATGTAATGGAATGAATACTGAATAACCATGCAAAGATCACATCAATCCTATTTGGTCATTATTATTTTAATGCTTTAGTGTTTTTCTTTGTTTATTGGACCAAGCCAACTTCAGAAGTAAAATTCACAACCAAAGAGTAATAGCTATCTGTGAAAAACTAAACAGTATAGTCATTAAAATAGTGGTTGTGATTAAACAAAAATAACTGTAACTCATAGGATAAACTTATAAAACAGTATTCTAGAAGTTTTATCTGTTATGTCTGCACTGTAATAAATCGGGACAATGTGAGTAGAATCTACTTGACTATGGAAGAAATGAAACTCCTAGTTAGCAATGGATTGCTTTGGAGCAGTGCACTTGTCCTCAGATTTTCTATTAGGAATGTATGTTCAAAATCCACTGGTTGTAGTTCTGAGTTATGGAGAAATGTGCCTTTACCATTGGTCCATAGACTCCTTCCTTCCTTGTTTTAATATCTTCACTTTGAGATGAGGCACTTTGTGCCCAGGAATGTGGCATTGTGCACTTACTAAAAATGTATCCATTGATAGTAGAATAATTGTACAAAATTAGTGAAAGAAGAAGGTATCTTCATTTAGAAAACAAAGCATTGAATTATAACTTTACAGTCACAACACAAGCTCCAGCTCTTCCTAGGCAGAGTGGTGCAACCTAAAGAGAAACGAAAGAGAGAGGTGTTGGATTTGAAGGAAATGACTGGGGATAATACTATTCTTACTGCTCAAATTCAGAAACAGACTCTATTTCCAGCTCCTGCAACCCCAGTCCTGTGCCCCCTGGCCTTTCTCTGTGGACCCTCTACTGATGTTCTAGGTAGATCACAAGATTGCATAGTATTTGCCCCTTTTTAAAGATGATTTTTGTGTTCTTTTTAATAGAAAGGACTGAGTGTACATAAAAGCCAGATTTTGACCAAAATATCGTATGAATATGATAAAAAAAAGCGCTAATCATTTAACCATACTTGTCTGGAGAACTTATCAAGTGTCCTCTACTGACTGCCATGCCATCTGAGAGAAGGCCCACCATAACCCACACCGACTGCCTCCTATGTGCTGGTGGTAAACTCTAAACCCATTCAGTTACTTTTTAGCAGAGTAATAATAACAAGTAGCTCTGTGACAGTAAGACAGGGGTAGTGATATAGACGGAGGAATACAGTCTCCATTTGTATCTATCTTTGTGCCAGTACTGGGGCTTAAACTCAGGACCTTATACTGTCTATTGTTCAGCTTTTTCCACTCGGGCAGGTGCTCTAACACTTAGCCACGTCTCCACTTTCACTGTTTGCTGGTTAATTGGAGGTTTAGAGCCTTCTGAGTAGCTAGGATTATAGCCATGAATTATGAGCACCTGGCTAAGAAACAATTCTTAAACATTTCATTTACTGTCTTGGAATTCATAGTTGAATTATGGACTGAATACTTTATGAAGAACTAGTCTGAAACCAGTAGGAATTTAGGTACTGGGAACAAGACAGTTGAAAAATATTAGTATTTGGAAGTAAGAAGATGACTAATGGAAAAAGCTAAGAAAGTGTGCTTTTGTGTGTGTGTGTGTGTGTGCATGCGCGCGTGCGCGTGCGGGTGCCAATCCTGGGGTTTGAACTCGGCCTGGGTGCTGTCCTGAGCTTTTTTGCTTAAGACTAGCACTCTACCACTTGAGTCACAGATCCACTTCCAGCTTTTTTGGGAGTTAATTGGCAATAAAGAGTCTCATGGACTTTCCTGCCAGGGCTGGCTTTGAACCATAATCCTGAGATTTCAGGCTCCTTAGTAGCTAGGATTACAGGTTGAGCCATCAGTGTCCAATTGAAAGTGTGTTTTTCAATACATGGTAGGGTATTAAGAAAGTATTAGAAAACAGTAAAATCCCCAATACCAAAAGGACTTCTGAATTAGTCTATGTACCATGAGATTTTAAAAAAGAGCCATCTTCAATTATAAGAGAATTTCATTTGCTATCTTAGTCAATTGTGCTGTATCTATTTTAAAACTACAAATATTTACAGTATGGTAGAAGTATTAACATCTAAATCATTTAAGTCAAAATGTTTGTTTGTTATTAGAAACGTTCCTCAAAATACCATGGTACAAAGTGTCTACAGTGTGATTTGGTGACACTGCCATGAGAAGCAGCTAGGAAGCACAGCTTAGAGAGTCTGCTAAATACAATGAAGTCATCTTCTGCTTAGGGTCAAGGGTGCTAGGGGGACTGGGAATTGGCTTCTTTGTAATCTCATAAATACCCTCTTGTCTATTATGAATACATCAAAACATTTATTTTCAGATACTATGGTTATAACATCAGTTTTAGTGATACAGATGGCACATAGACAAAATAGCAATGTGGTTACAGACCCATTTTGATTCAGAGTGATTCGTCATAAAGTATTATCTATTATAAGGATTTAAGCCAAATGCATCTCAGCAATATCTCTCTTTGGGCTCTGTGCCTGTCATTCACATCTACTTCTGCTAAGGTGGGGGGCTGGCACTAAGTAACTACATAGTGTCTAAAGAAATCCTGTGGAAATCAAGCCCTCTAGCTTATCTCTTTCACCTTCCAAATTTAATCAAGAGGAGACTTTATCATATTTATGTGATATACATTGATATTGGATGTAGTTAAAAAGCATTTCTTTACCAAAAGAACTGTTTTCACAAGCTGAGTGAAGATGCCAATAAAACAGAAACACAATACCTGGGTCCACTCATTTGTCTGGGGGTCATAGGCCTCCACTGTGTTAAGGTATGTCTGTCCATCATAGCCCCCAACAGCATATAACTTATCGCCAAGCAAACACACCCCCACTGCATCTCTGCTGATGCTCATAGATGCCACGGCGGTCCACATATCAGTTTTGGGATCATATCTGAAACAAGTTTTAGAATTAGAGCTAAACATTGTCAACATATTTGTACTCTTCTGACTTGTATATACTATTGTTAATTAAATATATTGAACATCTTTTTTTTTTTGTTGTTGGTTGTGGGGCTTGAACTCTGAGCCTGGGTGCTGTCCCTCAACTCATCAGCTCGAGGCAAGCGCTCTACCACTTGAGCCACAGTGCCACTTCTGGTTTTCTGGTGGTTATTGGAGGTTAAGAGTTTCATGGACTTTTCTGCCCGGGCTGGCTTCAAACTGCAATCCTCATATCTCAGCCTCCTGAGTAGCTAGAATTACAGACTTGAGCCACCAGAACCTGGCTCAGATGCATACTCTTTAAAAGACTGAAAACAGCTTTGAGACTTTTTGAGTGCTTGTTTGAATATGTGTCAAATAAACTCTTCCAAAATACCTTGCACCCACAAAAATCATTCTGGATCTTTTTGTTCTTTTATGAAGCACTGTAATTAGAATGCCCAAAGACATCTAAGAGCAGACACTTCATAGCAAATGACATCTTTAATATTTTTTAAATCTTCAAATGATTGTACAAGGAGTCTACAATTTAATGTTGATTTATGTGAACTATGTATCTTGATCGGATCTCACCCCTTCCATTAGTGCTCCATTTCTCGAACTGGGTAGAATTTATCAAATGGGAATCTGACCTACTATCCAACCTTCTATTGCTATTGGGCTTTCTATCTGCCACTAAGTTGAGTTTCATGAGTCCATTAGATGACTTGGTTAAGAAATATGATTAGCCTTTATTTTAAAATTTAATTTAATATCAGATTGGTCCATATATATTTCTAAGTCTTTTGCTTTTTTATTTTTTAAATAAAAACTCTACCCCCTAATTAATTCTCTGAATTTATCAATCCCATTTCTTTTTTGATTAAGTGCAGTGTCCAGTAAAGAACACACACATGATGCTTAACATATGAGTCAATTAATAAACAGTGTGTCCAGTCCTAAGGGAAAGTTTAAGTAAACAGACAGGAATGTAGGAGAAGAACCCCAGTTGGCTGCTGGGACACAGAGGGAGAGACAACTGGCTCACTTCATTATAACTCTGAATGTTATAACTCCATCTTCACAAGACTCAGAAACACCTGCCTACAATGACAGCTGCTCGAGTTGCTCTGTTTGGATGTATTACAGACATTTGTTCCTTCATAGGAAATTACCTCTCCACACAGTCTGAGAGTCTGGAAGTGAGATTGGATGCGGGGGCATCGTGTCCTCCAATAGCATACAGCAACCCATTCCAGGTTGTTACTCCCACCCCACCTCTCCTTTTTGACATCTGTGCACATGGTGTCCATTTATTGGTGTGAGGATCAAAACATTCTACTGATTTGAGACAGGAACTTCCATCACGGCCGCCAACTGCATAAAGTCTGTAAAAAGAACAAGTGAAATGAGAAATAAGAAATAGCTGTTATTGTGCTGAAGTCAAGGAGGCTGTTCTTATGGCATTTCACTAAACTTAAAGTGTTATCCATGGTAAGACAGACTGTCAACTTACGTGTCATTGAGAGAAAAGATATGCTACCAGAGAAATGACACATACTTATTATGTCACTCTGGGTATATATGAAAAAGAAAATCCAAACTGAAGATCAGGTTTGGAGAAAGAAGGCAGTTATTCTTTTAGAAATAAAAACTAAGAGAGTTGTACAGAGCAAATATTAGCCCCAAAACTTAAGTCTAAATTTTAAATCCAAAGGTCAAAGCTGAGAAGAAGCTATTTGGCTTTTTTTCCTTTCTTTTTATTTTCTGATTCTCTGATGGAGGGATCTTCTATCAATGGGTGAGTAAAGATACACAGCCATGAATGTTTAAACATGTCAGGGGAGGGATATGGAAACTGCTACATCTAAAAAAAGCTTTTATCTACCATATACCTTATGATGGTACTAAAAAAATCAAACAAGATCTTGGTCAAAAAATATATTCCAGTAATATGCTCTCATTTTTCTTATAACACAATTCTACACATAATTTTTTTTTTTTTTTGGGTCCGGTTGTGGGGGCTGAACTCTGGGCCTGGGCGCTGTCCCTCAGCTCTTCAGCTCAAGGCTAGCACTCTACCACTTGAGCCACAGCGCCACTTCTGGCTTTTTTCATTTTGCTTATGTGGTGCTGAGGAATTGAACCCAGGGCCTCAGGCATGCAAGGCAAGCACTTTACCACTGAGCCACCTTCCCAGCCCCTCTACACATAATTTTAAGTCTCTATTTCAAACTTGATTTCTCTCTTTCTGGAAATGATGCTAATACAAAAGGACTAAAAGAGAACGAGTTGTATTTAACCACAGAGGGGCTTCATTTCATAGCCGAAGAAAGTTGAAAATGATTCATATTTAATCTCTGGGTAATCAAGAGCTAGAGGAAAGACCTCATGCAACTCTGATTTCTTTAGATCAAAATAGAGGCATTCTGGGGTTCACCAGTTTACAAAAATAAGAAAGAAGAGAAGCAAGATAAACCATAAAAAAGATAGAAGGAATATTTAGGGAAACACTGATGGAAACTACACTACTTTAAAAAGACCATATATATATATATATATATATATATATATAGTTGTTGTTATTTGTTTTGTTTTCATTGCTGGCACTAGGGCTTCATACTTGAGGCCTTGTGCTCTCACTTGGCTTTCTTCTTTTTTTTTTTTGTCGGTCATGGGGCTGAACTCTAGGCCTGGGCCCTGTCCTCAGCTCTTCAGCTCAAGGCTAGTGCCCTACCACTTTGAACTGAACCACAGCACCACTTCTGGCTTTTTCTGCTTATGTGGTCCTAAGGAATCAAACCCAGGGCTTTACGCATGTGAGGCAAGCACTCTGCCACTGAGCCAACTTCCCAGCCCTTACTGGGCTTTCTTCCTCATTGCTGGTATTTTGCCATTTGAATCAAATCTCTAGACCAACATTTTGCCAATTAATTGTAGATAAGAGTTTAGCATGGGCTGGGAAGGTGGCTCAGTGATAGAGCGCTTGCCTTGCATGCATGAGGTCCTGGGTTCAATTCCTCAGCACCACATAAGCAAAAAGAAAAAATGCCAAAAGTGGCGCTGTGGCTCAAGTGGTAGAACGTTAGCCTTGAGCTGAAGAGCTGAGGGACAGTGCCCAGGCCCAGAGTTCAGGCCCCATGACCCCCCCCCCAAAAAAAAAAAAGAAAAAAGAAAAAAAAGAGTTCAGCAGACTTTTTCTGCCACACCTGCCTTTGAACCATGACCTACAGATTTCTGCCTCTTGAGTAGTTAGGATTATAAACATGAGCCATGTAGTGCTGGGCCAAGACCATACCATCATAAAGGTAGATAACCACCAGATGTTTACTGCAAAATTTAATATTGAATACTGCATACCTTTCCTTCCTTCCTTCCTTTTTTTTTTTTTGGGTCCGGTCATGGGGCTTGAACTCTGGGCCTGGGCGCTGTCCCTCAGCTCTTCAGCTTAAGGTGAGCACTCTTACCACTTGAGCCACAGCACCACTTTGCATATATTTTCTTTACTCATTAAGTAACTAGAAATATATGCTATCTGCACATTTAAACAAAACCCAATTTAAGACTGAGATATTATTCATATTTAGAACTCTCTCTCTTTTTTTTTTTTGGTCAGTTGTGGGGCCTGAACTGTGGGCCTGAGTGCTGTCCCTCAGCTCTGCAGCTCAAGGCTAGTGCTCTACCACTTGAGACAAAGTGCCACTTCCAGCCTTTTCTGCTTATGTGGTGCTGAGGAATTGAACCCAGGGCCTCCTGCATGCAAGGCAAGTGCTCTGCCACTGAGCCACCTTCCCAGCCCCATATATAGAACTCTTAAAAAAAAAAAGATTGTTTTAAAAGCTTTTCTAAAACAAAGTATTCACGTAGCAATAAATTTGGTTTACTGTGATTTAAATGAAGCTTGAACTATTTTCTTACTTTCCACTTAGTACAGCCACTCCCACTGTGCTCCTGGGTGTGGACATAGTGGCTACAAAATTCCACTGGCGAGCCTGGGGGTCCCATCGCTCCACTGTGTTCAGGTAGCTCCAGCCATCATGCCCGCCCACAGCATACATGGGGCCTTCCAGCACAGCCACACCTGCAAGGAGGCAGCAAAGAGTAACCAGTTCCAAATATCACATTCTAGTTGAACATGCAAACTTAACCAATCAAACATGTATGCTAGTATCATTTGGGTTCTGTACCACTGTCCTTAGGAGGTACGTAGGTGTCATTCAACTAGCATGCTAGTTGGGTCCTTAAAAGCTGTCCAGGCAGTATTTTGATAAAGTTATTTTCTCAAAATAACTTTTGGGGAAAGTTAGTTTCCAACTGTACCAGATACCTACATTACCATGACTTAAAACATTTTTCCATAACTTGAATTTAAGACAGATATATTGGAGAAGTATTTTGATTTCTTTTTATTAATTCAAACCCATAGGAATTTTTTTTTACTGCAGCCTCACTGGATACTACAGTCTGTTTGGATGATTCAGATAAGCCAGAGTCACTTGTTAAGTGATTCAGCAAACATCTACTAAAGTTTCTACTAAGTGCTATGTACTCAGAATAACATAATAGATAAGGACTGCATCCTCATGGATCACTGCAATCCTATGCTTCAGTCAGGAAATAGACACAAAATATGTTAGGTATTGGCAAGTGCTAATTAAAAAACTTTTGTAAAGCAAAATGACAAAGTCAGGAGAAATGTATACGACAGGATGACATTTGAGTACAAACATGGATGCAATTAAAAGCAGACATGGAGATGTCTGGGGGAACAGGATGTGCAAATGACGTGAGGCATGCATAGTATGTCTGAAGTACAGCAAGGTGGTCAGTTTGGCTAAGCAGTGACGTAGGGGGAGCATATAGGAAGGAGGACTGAAGATCTAACTTTGAATGAGATAGAGATCCAGTAGAGGGTTTTGAGAAGAGTGTGACATGATCATGGCCAAGTGAGACACACATACCTCATTTGAGAGACAAAAAATCCTTTGTAATTCAATCATACTATAATTTGTGCATCATGGCCATGTAAAAATATTGACCACTCACATCTGACCTAAAGCAATGCATTATTTCACTCAGTTGTCACATATTGAGTACTGATTGCTATCTACTTATGAAATATAGCAGATCTCTGGTATCTGCAGACATGTGCTACCAAGAGCCCGCCATGGGTGAGAACTGGAGAGTGCTTAGGATGCAAATTTAGTGCTGTACTGTGGATGCTTGATTTTTTTCCTATAATTCCCTGCACCAACTTCTGCTAAAATGTCTGCCTGTCAACAAACCTCAAGGTTTAACTTAATTACTTTAATAAAGCACATTAATTTCTACCTTTCTTTTGTGAAGTATACTGTCTTTTACAAAATTAAGGGCAGGATAATTCTCAGTGGATCAAACAATGATTTAAATATGCTGGCGATAATGCTGTGAGTTTTCTCCCATCAACTGAGCTGCATAATACATGTAAGGGAATTAAAGATTTGTTGTTTTTGAAATTTTGATTTTTAAAAACTTACTTTTGATCAGTTGGCCAAAATTACACATAATAAATCTACAAATAAGGCATACTGCATGAAATAACTATGCACATAGCTATGCAAGGTATATATTACCAGCTTTATAGACTATCCACAAAGATTTTTACATGCATGTATATAAAATAAGCATATATATATTATAATAAAATATGTGTAGATAGAAAGAAGAAAAAAGTTCCATCTTGTCTACCCCTTAAACAATAACTCAAAATAAATTTTAGCAGTAGAAACCCTTTTTCAAATAAAGTCTTCATAAAAATCTCACATATTTAGAGATAACTGAGTGATACTTAAAATTTATTTTGTAAGTTCAAACTTTTGAGTGAGTGAAACAAAAACTTAACATTTTTTGAGAAAATAAATTGAACTACTGATCATCCTATGAATTTCCTGTGGATCAATGATACCTTTTCACATAGAAACTAGAACTAAAGCATATTCCATACATGGTCTGAGTAGTACAAAATACATCTAGATCACCAACAATCAAATTCTATATATTGCAATGATTGATCATAAATTAGAATTAAGGAGAAGTATGCAGCTGTATTACAGTAACTCTGCATTTTTATTTATTTTTTTGTTGGTCATGGGGCTTGAACTCTGGGCTTGGGTGCTGTCCCTGTGCTCTTCATCTTAAGGCAAGCGCTCTATCGCTTGAGCCACAGCGCCACTTCTGGTTTTCTATTGGTTTATTGGAGATAAGAGTCTCATGAACTTTCCTGCCCAGGCTGGCTTTGACCCATGATTCTCAGATCTTAGTCTCTTGAGTAGCTAGGATTACAGTTGTGAGCCACAGACACCCAGCTTAGTGACTGCATTTTATGCTAAGCCCCAATTCATACTCATCCTTAAAAATATACTTTCTAGACTGGAGGTGTAGCTCAGTGGAATTATGCTTGCCTAGCATGCACAAAGTGCTGGGTTCAATCCCAAGCACTGAAAACACACACACACACACACACACACACACACACACACACACACACACAATTTTGTGTCTATGTAATAGCTGATTTTATGGACTCCAGAGTAATGTCTTATAGTTTTCTTTGTTAAGTTTCATATAAATTTTAATCTCCTTTTCTTAGTACATTAACCCTAACCCTTGGATTTTGCTTCCTTATCAAACTTGAAACTTATTATCAAACTTGAAACTTAAGAGTAATTTCTTATTGAGGGGGTGAGGGAGAAGGGGTGTACTGGGGGAGTACTTGCCTAGCACATATGTGGCCCTGGGTTCCAGGGCCTCAGATACAAAAGGAAAGGGGGTAGGGTGGCAGAGAATCTTTCAATGAATCATAATTACATTCAATAGAATATTTGCTCATTTTTTGCTGTACCTATACTACCATATCAATTTATATTCCTAATTTTCATTTCTGGCTACTCAACCTTTGGATAGCCTCTTCTTTGGTGCTCAGTACTGTATGGCAGAGAGGTCATCTATATCTTTGTTGCCTCCAAGCTATTTTGTGCATGTGTGCATGCTGGACACAGGCCTTGAACTCATGGACTGGGTGCTGCTCTTAAGCTTTTTTGCTCAATGCTGGAGCCCTACCACTTTAGCCATAGCTCTACTTTGGGCTTTTGGCAGTTAACTGGAAAGAAGTATCTCACAAATTTTCTTGCCCAAGCTAGCTTGGAATCTATATTCTGAGATCTCAGCCTCCTGAGTAGCTAAGGTTACAGGCCTGAGCCATCTTACACATGCAGCCATCTTTTATAATGACCTATCAAGTTCTTTATTGGAACTGTTTTAAACCTTTCACAAACTGCAATGAGCTGTTCTTCCTCTGAATGTATGCCTTTTTGCAATGTGATTCTATAGTTCCTCTCATGAGTAGGAATCCATGTCTACATTTTTTCACTTTGAGCTGGCTCATCTGACTTATTTTGGCCAGTGAGACATAAGTAAACATGACACAAAACAGGTGTAAATTTTTTGAGAAAATAATCTGTGCATTGGAACTTGCCTCTAAACTTTGCTGGTTTTGAAATCCTGTGATACCACCATGTGAGGGAAGACTGGGTTAGCCTGCTTTCTGATTGGACACATCTGGTTGAGTTGGTTCTGTTGCCCAGGCCTCCAATCTGCTAGCCACTAGATATCATAGATCATTCAGCCAACCAGCTAGTCCATCACAAGATCCATGAAAATCCAGCAGAGATTATGGAAAGTAGCAGAGCTCACCCAAGGCAGCTAAGACCAAAAGAACTGCCCAGCTTCTACATCTTGGAGTGTTTGTTCTACAGCAAAAGCTGGGTGATACACAGCATTTCAAGACCCAGCTAATTTTATTTCTATACCCTTAATTTTTATTAAACAATTATTTCTATTTTGCCAACAAAAGGGAGGGCCTTAAATTCTCTTATGCATTGGAGAACATACCACCAGTTCCTTGAGGGAAAAGCATCTTCCTCATGTGTAGCCTATAGAATGAGGGTAAGGCACACAGTGCATGCTAACAAAGTCTGCTCAGCAACGTACTGAACAAAAATCTCTATTATATTCTTGGTGCTGTTTCAAAAATTTTCTGGGTTTTCAATTCACTTCTGCTTAAAAACTAGAGGGTATATATTGATATGAAAAACAATAATGCTGAAGGTTTTATTATTATTATTATTATTATTTGTCAGTTGTGGGATTTGAACTCTGGGTCTGGGCACAGTCCTTCAGCTCTTCAGCTCAAGGCTAGTGCTCTGCCACTTGAGCCATAGCACCACTTCCAGCTTGCTTCTTTCATTCTTTCTCTCTCTCTCTTTCTTTCTTGTTGGTTGTGGAGCCTGAACTCTAGGCGCTGTCCCTTAGCTCTTCAGCTCAAGGCTAGGGCTCTACCACTTGAGCCACAGCGCCACTTCCAGTTTTTCTGGTGGTTTATTGGAGATAAGAGTCTCATGGACTTTCCTGCCCGGGGTGGCTTCAAAGTGCGCTTGATCTTCAGATCTTAGCCTCCTGAGTAGCTAGGATTACAGGTGTGAGCCACCAGCACCTAGCAATGCTGAAGATTTTTAATAAGCACTCGGCTTCAGCTAGGTCATACTAATTGCCAACTCAGAGCACGTACAAAAAAAGTGGTATGTCAGACTATCATACTCCCTAAACACCTCAGGTGCTATGTTTTCACTAGTGCTGCTGGCTGCATGTTAGTGAATGAGCTTGTGTATTTTGCTTCTCTGTCTTACATCACAGGAAGCCTGAGAAGAAATGCTTGGTGATAGGCTACTATCAACACAGCTGCCACACTGGCCTTTTGCCTGGACAGAAGGCAAAATTCTGCAGAAGCCTCATCCATGCGATCAAATCCAGAGTTCCACTTACCAAGGCCATGTCTATGTGTAGACATAGGAGGCATCACACTCCAAGTTTTTGTTTTGGGGTTGTAGCACTCTACAGTATTCAAAGTTTTCAGTCCATCTCTGCCTCCAACCACGTACAGTTTGTCATCCAACACTGCAACACCGAACTGCAGCCTCCTCCCATTCATATTCGCTACAGGAGTCCACATATTTGTACGGAGATCATACTTTTCAATACTTGTTGCTCCTTAATAGTAATATAGAGATTACATAAATACATGTGCCACTACTATTGACTACTTTATGAAATTATACATATATGAGTATAATTTGTTAGCATTAACAAAACTACTTTTATTATTCCCCAGGAAGTCTCTGAACAATCTGGTACCTCTATCTTTATGTAACTTCTCTCCTACCCATTCTCCTGGAACATTCCAGATAAAGCAGGGAAGGGTTATCTGTCAAAAGAGGTGGAAAGGTGACATTCAAGAGTGGGAGGAAAGAACCAGTGTTTAGAGGTTGAATGTGTATAGCAGGCAGGCATGCTTGCAGCATCAAATACTAGCGGAGGATCCAGTAAGATAAAGACTAGAAAGCATGGACAGGTTAGGTGACATGGAGGTAATCAGGGATGGCTTTATTTGAGTGGCTTTTATGGAGCTTACAGACTTGAGAAGAGGCAGGCAGACCATAAATAAATATAATGAGGTATATGAAGAAACAGTGCAGGTTAGGAGATGGAAACTAGTTAAGACAATAGATAGAAAGTGGCAAACAAAAAGTTGCTATTCAATGTTCATGGAAAACCTCTTTGCTAAGCTGACATTTGAGAAGATGTTGACTTGCCTTGAACTTCATTATTAGGGGTAGAACATTCAAATAACAGAGAATATCAACACAGTATCACTGATGTGAGGTAAAATATTTGGCGTGTTAAATGAAGAAGCCAAAGAGAAGGGTGGGCACACCTGTAATTCTAGCTAGTGATGGGCCAGGGAAGATTGGAGGACTGAAGTTCAAGTCAGCCTAGACAAAAAAATTAGTGAGACCCCTCTCCCCCATCTCAACAAATCAGCTGGGTGTAGTGGCATAAACTTATATAAACTACTTGGGAGGATCCTAATCCAGGCTGACTCAAGGAAAAACTGCAAAGCCCTATCTGGAAACTAATTAAAGCAAAAAGGCTAGAGGCCTGGCACAAGTGGTGGAGTACCTCCTACTAAGGGCCTGGGTTCAAACACCAATGCCACAAAAAATTAGACAGGTAAGATAGATAGGTAGACAGACAGACAGGTAAGGCCAAAGGTGGCTGTAACAGAAGTAATGGAAGGAGCTAAGATGGAAAAGAAGAAAGCAAGAGCTGGAAGAAAGTAAGTGGAAAGGTAGCTGGAGGCCAGAAAGGTATTGTCATAGGATGAAGACTATTAGCAGTGGGAATACAAAGTATTGAGTCAATGCACCATGTGAGATCCTATACAGAATGCCTTCTTGCAGCCAGTAGCACCTTGTATACTGTGTATTGCTATTACTTTCACTAAAAGTATTAAATATTCCAAGAATGAAACAAAGAATTCACCAGTGCCTTGAGCCAAGACTTCCTAAATGCCTGTCCTACATTTGCTTTCTATACATGCATGCATTTTCCCCTGAATTAAGAGTAAACTAAGAAATGATGATCCTATACTCCTAATACTTCATTGTGTCTTCTTCAAAACAAAGACTTCTTTTATAAAAAACACAATAGAAGCCTAGCACTGGTGGCTCATGCCTGTAATCCTAGCTACTCAGGAGGCTGAGATCTGAGGATCATGCTTTGAAGCCAGACTGGGCAGGAAAGTCTCTGAGACTTATCTCTGATAAACTATTCAGAAAAAGCCGGAAGTGGAGTGCTATGGCTCAAGTGGAAAAGCACTAGCCTTGAGCTCAAAGAAGCCCTGAGTTTAAGCCTCAGGACTGGCAAAAACAAACAACTTCCCAAAAAACAAACAATCCCCATCCCCCATATAACAGAAACATCAACATCTGGAAGTTAATATTTTACAATACTATTATCTACTACAAACTTTCTTTGGATTTTGCCATTTGTGTCAATTATAACCTTTACAGCAAAAGAAAATCCATGATGATGCATTATAATAGTCGACATATCTTATTATTTCTCCTGTGCTCTCCAACAATGTCTGAACCTTCCATACCAGGGCTTGAACTTAGGGACTTCACATTAGCTTGCTTGCTTGGTGGATGTTCTACCACTTGAGCCACACTCCCCACTATTGGGGCTTTCCTTTTTTTTTTTCCTCTCAGCATTGGGGTTTGAACTCAGAGCCTTATGCTTGATAGACAGGTACTCTATTGTTTGAGGTACACTTCCAGCCCTTTTTGCTCTGGCTATTTTTGAGACAGGATCTCACTTTTTGTCTGGGCCTTCTTGGAGTGTGATTCTCCTATATACACTCCCAGCCATAGTTGGCATGACAGAAATGCACCATCATGCCCAATTTTCAGTTGAGTTGGGAGTCTTCTGAACTCTTTTGCTTGGGCTGATCTGAAACTGATCTCCCTGTCTATATCTTTTGCATAGCTAGGATGACAGGTCCATACCATAGTGTCCAGCCATTGGACAAGATTTGGAGATCCTACCAACTTTTTTCCCTGCCTTATCTATAACTGTGACCCTCTCATATCTACCTCCCAACTAGCTATTACAGATGTGAACCACTGACGCCTAGTCTGAACCTGACTTTTTTTTTTAATACTACAGACAAACAAGCTATTTAGTAGAACTATTCTCAACATGATTAGGGTTGTACACTTTTGGCAAGAAGGCACAGATGAGCCTCTAAGTTATTGACAGTACATTTTCTCAGAGTACATACTGCTGCTTCTCACCACTGGGAACATTAGCCTGATCTTTGGTTAAATGGTTGTATGCCAGTTTTCTCTGCTGTAAAGATACTATTTTATTCTCTGTAACTAATAAGCATGTGCCTGGTGATACTCCGTGACTAAATATTCTGTTCCTAAACTTTCACCCAGCAGCCCTCAGCCTCCATTGATAATTGCTGACTGAATTAGAAATTATAAGATGAATATTCCTTATCCAAACTACTTGGGACCAGAAAATTCTCATATGACAGTCTGAAAATTTTGGAATATTTGCACAGACAGCCTTTCCTGGCAGGGTATCCCTATTATAAACACCCATATTCTGAAATGCTCCAAAATCTGAAAGCTTCTGAGTGTCAAGGCTGCTCCAAGACTTTCTGATTTTGCAGCATTATAAATTTCTGATGTTCCAAGTAAGCATGCTCAGAATGTATTTTGATGGTCAGCAAAGATTAATTTTTCTAGCCATATTTTTCCTGCTACATTAGTTGGCATTCAGCTGTAAGGAAGAACTTGCCCATTTCATTTTTCATTTGTGTTAAACACCAATTTAGTAAGTTATTAGCATTGACTATCATTGCTTACTTTGGTGCCCCAGTCATTCCAGTCTGAGACAGTGATGGGCCTATAAGCTATTCCATGGGTCTGTGACCTGTGTCCCCCCATTCCTTGAGCATCTTCTTACCTTTTGGCATTCAGGTTACAGTCCAGGCTCACCTTGTTCTTCACCTGTCCTGATCATATATCCAGCCATTTCGCTGAAGAACTCTAGATCATATATTTAAATTATTAAAATTCCCTGCCCCCAGTCTCTCTAAATATTATTAAATACCTTTAGTTGAGTCCATTCCTCCAACGGCAAATAAAGTACCAACAGTTGACTTCCTAGGCTTTGTCCGAGGACTCTGTAACATAGGTCGTCTCTCTGGTAATAAATGATATTTCATTGCTTCCATAATGAGTTTCTGACATTCTATGTCATCCCGAAAAAGTGCATTATTTTCCATATCTGCTAGAAACTACAAAAGAATAGTATGTATATTGAGTCACTAAGAAAACAGGATATAGAATAAATGATGCTTTCAAACAGAAAGTACCACACTTAAAAAATTCAAGTCTACATTTTTTCAAACAACCCCCCCACCCCGGCCCCTGACATGTTTCCATTTCCTGGGGTTCATTTCAATAGATAGTATTTTAAATATTCAGAGAAGTTACACCTTTCAGTTTCTCCCCTTAGGGTATATCCTCCTTCACAGTCTTTGTGTGAATGCCTACCAAGTCAACAGATTTTAAAACTATTTTTAGTTTATATATATATATATAACTTTATATGTATATATTTTATACTTATATTTAATATTTTACCTAATATATGATATGATAAAAAGCACATAGGCATTATAACTTTGTGTTCTTCCCCTAAGAATATACTCCTTTGGTCTCACTGTGTGTGGAAGCCTAGAGTTCTGTATAATTTATCATGTCCCAGGATATTTTAGATCTAGCTTCTGCATATGAGAGAAAAATGGGTTAAGGCATCTTTTAAATCTCAGAATTAATCGATTTTAAGTAAACAATTCAATGATTTCTTTTTGTAAATGTACCAAAATGTGCAGCCATTCCCAAGAAATAGTTCAGGAGCATTATTATTAATAGCTCAGAGGCTAGATGCCCACATACTGCTCACCCCTGTTCCGTCTCACAGCTCCTAGAGGGTCTCTAGATTGGTCTTTTTTGAACTCTTTCATATACCGTCATCCAGATACTGCTTTTGCTTTATATAGCATGATTTTGGGTTTGTCTGTGTTGAACATAAACTGGGCGTCACATCTTTTTATAGTGGTGACACCCCATGGCATCATGGTAAATGTAGCTTCACTCACTACTTGGTGGACACAGGTTGTTGCAGTATGAGATACTCTAAGTAAAGGTGCTAAGGAAACTTGTGTTAAGGAAGCTATTGTGTATATATTTTGATTATGGTTGGGTGGATACTTAGATGTAGACTTAGTGGGTCGGTCATATGTTGAATTTGCCTAATTTAAAAATTTTAACTATTTCCCTAAACAGCTTCTCCAGCACTAGATGAAACTGTTTCTGTACATCCTTGCCAACAACTCTGTATCACTTTATTTTAATCAGTAGAATATGTATAAAAATGTAGCCTTAGTTTGCATTTCCTTAATGACTAATTATGTTGAGAATAAGTGTTTTTTTGGTTTTTTGGGTTTTTTTGGTTTCTGGTGTGTGTGTGTGTGTGTGTGTGTGTGTGTGTGTATGTGTGTGTGTGCAGGCGTGTGCTTGTCCTAAGCCTACATATTGTCCCTAAGAGTTTTTGTTCAAGCTAGTATTCTACCACTTTGAGCCAGAGTTCCACTTCTGGGTTTTTCCGTGGTTAATTGGAGATAAGAGTCTCACGGACTTTCCTGCTTGGGCTGGCTTCTAATAGTAGTCTTCAAATTTCAGCCTCTTTAAAAGTTAGGATTATAGGCATGAGCCACTGGTGCTGGATGCTCAGATTTCAATAACTGTAGAGAAAGAAAGGTCTCTAACAAAAGTATGTAGAAAAGCTTGTGGCTTTGGCATCTTAGCTTACAAAGCCAAAGGCAATAAATACCTAATTAAGACACAAGTCTCATGACCTATGTAGAATGTTAATTCTAGTATTAACTTTCCACATTTTTTTTTCCATGCACACAAAACAGTTACATTGGCAACAGAAACCATTAGTGAGTACACATTGAGTTGGCAATGGAAGTTAACATTAAGTTAACTTGCTTATAATGTACTTTTGTCCTTTCTAAATAAAAATAAATACAAAAATAAGATGTAGAAAGTAGTTTTAGAGGGACTGGGAAGGTGGCTCAGTGGTACAGCGCTTGCCTTGCATACATGAGGCCCTGGGTTCGATTCCTCAGCACCACATAAGCAAAAAGAAAAAAGCTAGAAGTGGCGCTGTGGCTCAAGTGGTAGAGCGCTAGCCTTGAGCTGAAGAGCTGAGGGACAGCGCCCAGGCCCAGAGTTCAGGACCCACGACTGGACCCC